TTCTGCCCACCACTGACCTGCTACACTGTTATTCTGTCTCCCTCTTTAGCAAGAAGTCTGCTACTCCAACCACCTCTGGGAGCCACTGCTGCAGTTCCCAGGGTCACAGAAAGCTAGACCCGGCTGGTTCAATGTCCCATGTACAGATGGGGAAACCGAGGCTCAGAGAGCATAGGAGGCTTCATCCAGGGTCATGCAGCAAGCATTTAGGTTTCAGGTAGAATGTCAGCACCTCTAAGAGGACCCTCCTGCCGGTGGTCTGCCCTACCACCACCCACTTCCCATTTATTCTTTGTGTCACCTTCCAGTTTAACTTTGTAGCACTCACCATTATCTGAGCTCAGTGCATTTACCTATTGTTCATCCATCTGATCTCTTCCCTCCTCTAGGCTGTACTTGCAGGAGACTAGGGACACGGTCTGAATTGTTCACACAATCAGTGTGTGCCTAGGGTCTCGAATAGAGCCTGGCCCATAGTAGCTGCTCAATAAGCATTTACTGACTGAATGAATTAGTAGCCAAGATGGGCCTGGAACTCATATTTCCTGGCTTGCCAGATTTTCCCACATTTGTTGTCCGCAGAGCCTGGGGAAGTTCTGGGAGTTTGGAATACGGCCTGGGAGTTTGAAGTAGCACCAAATGGCCAGGGGGAGGATCTGCTTTGATTGTAAGAAAGCAGCTGGCCATTTGTTTTTTTGGTCTGATTGCTGCTAAAACAGAGCTTGTGTGTGTGTGTGTGTGTGTGTGTGTAGAGCTGGGATGGGGAAGGAGGAGGCAAGAGGGCTTGCAGAGTGGACTGGACAGTGGCTTTCACCCTGCCTGCTCCCTGTTGTCCCCCCCGCCCTTTCCCTCAGATAACACCACCAGCTGGGAGGGACACAGCTGCGCCCTTCTCTTGGGAAGGGGAGCAAAGGGCCCTGCCGCCCTGGGTGCGACCTAGGCTGTGGAGTTCAAAGCAGCCTGTGAAGTGAAGGGGCTGCTGCAGGGCTGCAGGGAGGAGGCGAGAAGTCAGCAGGGGTCGAGAAAGGCAGCTCCACTTTGATGTCCCCCACCCAGTGTGTGGGGCAAGTTCTGGGCGAGGTCCCGCAGCCAGTTTGGCTTTTCCCTTCATCCCAGCCAAGAGAGATTCAATTAACCACCCCTTCCTGCCCTTTGGGGAGGATGTTTATCTGGATCCCAGACCCCAGCACACACTAGGTGCATGAAAGCGTGCACCCAGTGTGCACTCGGCCCATGGCACACACAAGCCCTGCTCGCAAGGGCAGGCAGCCACAGGATCACTGGCAACAGCCCAAATCAGGCTCTGCTTTCTGGGCCCTGAACAGCCCGGGGGAGGGGTGGGTGAGGGCTATTGAATCCCTGACTCCAGGGGTCGCCAGCAGTCTGGGCCCTCCTGAAAAGGCCCTGTGGCAGGTCTGGGGTGCAGCTCTGCCAGGAGCTGTCCATCTCTGGCTCATCACAATACCTCAGAGAAATCACCCGGGAGAGAAAGAGGTCTCCCAGGAAACCCGCTCGGCCTCTCCAGGGCCCGCCAGCACCGGGACACTGGCCCACAGTCCGGCCTTAGCTGCTGGCTTGCCAGATGGCTCAGGGTGGCTTCTTCTGGGTCAGTTCAGCAAATGGGGGCCCTGGTCCCAGCCTTTCCCATCCTTTTGCTGAGTGCATTCCTTTGGCTTTAATTCAACAGGCATTTACCAGGTGCCAAGGTGGGGGTACCAGAATGGGGAGCAGGTGTTTGCCCAGGTGCCCTCTGTCTGATGAGGGCTCACTTCTGACCCTAGGGACACATTAGGTCAGCCTGCAGTACTGGGCCTACTCACTCAACTTCCATCTGTGTTGGACAGACAGGGACCCTGGGCATCAGCCTGGGTGCGGAGCGAGGCTGGCTGATTCTGCTTGTCCCCGGCTGCCATTGCTGGGGGTACTCAGGCCATCTGTTTTCAGGTGACTTTTGGCCGGAGGCCTGATCTCATCCACACTCCACCCCACCTGCTCCAGTCAGGGGCCCCCTCCCAGCCTTGGCCCCTAATCCCTCCCATTTTAACCAGTTTGGCCTATCTGGTGATATTAATGGCTCCTTAACCCCCTGAGGCAGAGAGCCTGGAGGCCAGAGGATTAAAGAGATGGGTCCCTGTCCTTTCCCTGGGCTCTCCATCTGGCTTCTGATCCACGTGGAACCAGCTCAGGACAGAGACCTGCCTTTGGGGACACCCTGAGCTCACTTGCTTCCCTCCCTGCATGTTCCGAGCTGCAAAGGGCATGGGCACCTGCCTCTTTCTGGGGGAGCCAGACAAGATCTGGATTCACCGGTGTCCTAGAACTTGACCTTTATCCTGGGATGTCCGGAGCAGTCGTTGTTTTTATTCATAATGGGGCCATTGATTGTACCCTGCCCTGAGCCAAATTTGTTCCTGCACAACTCTCAAGGGTCCCTTTTGATAGGTCAAGGTTGAGCAAGTCTGATGTGGTCGAAGATTAACCATTTCCACCCAGGCTTGCTTTCAGGTTATAATGAATGCTGCTCTGTGTCCTGTGTAGACTTCCATTAGACAAACATGGAAAAGCAAGCAGGCCCCAAGAAGTCCCTACCCTGGGTGCCATAGAAACAGGAATTCCCAGCTCTGGGTCCTACCGGGTGTCCTGACCATCGTTTTGCAGACTGCCAAGATTCCAGAGGCTGGGTCCTGTTAACTTTCCAGATGGCATCAGGCAACCAGGAGTCCTCTCTGGGAATGGCTGGTCACAGGGCAGTTCTGGATTAAGCTATGGCCCTAACCCTCTGGGCAGACCATGGCCTATTGCCTGGCAGGGTTCTTATTCCCTGTTCCATCAAGAGTAGGGCATATCTCTAAAATATTTTAGTCAATCTGTTTTTAATTGCACCCGAGACAGCTTATTGTAAAATATGTTACATATATCCTGGCACCATCCTACATTTCTGCAGTGCTCAACAGAAGACAAACCAAATTTAAGAAAAGCTAGAGTTCTTTCCTTTGTGAAGTTAGTGGTTAGTCCTTGGTCTCGAGATAGCCTTAGTTCAAATTCTGGCTCTGAGAATCACTAGGTGGGTGACCTCGGCCAAGTTACGTCACTTCCTGTGCCTCAGTCTCCTCAATCTGTGAATTGAGAGTAATGAGAGCACCTACTTCCTAAAGTCACTGTGCCTATTAAAAGAGTTGGTAAACATCTATAAATGTGCAGAATATTTAAAAGAATGCCTGGCATGTGGCGAGTTCTCACTATGTAATCCTCAGGAGAAATACCAATGTTTCCTTCACACATTGCCTCAGGTAAAGGTCATCCAAGACCCTCATCTTTCTTACTTTTCTTTCTAGCCTTCTCTTCTGTATCTCTCCATTGGCCCCTAAGACTTTGGCCATGTTTGTTTCCCTTTCTCTGTATGTACTCTGTATCTTCCTCCTGGCCTGTCCTCTCTGTTGTTCTCCCGCTTTCAATACTTGGCAAGCTCCTGTTTAAAGAGCACCAACTGGGGGCCTGAGGACATGTTTTACATGTCCTGCCCTGTGTCTTTTAAATGCGATTAATTTTCCAAATTTGCAAACCTGGAAATTGCTCATAAAATCCAGAGTTTGAAATTATGTTGAAATAGCAGAAGATATGGCAATGTTGGGCTCCACATTTCTGCATGGCAACCAGAGACTGGAACAGGAGGCTTCCTTTTCATGGGATGTGCTTGCTCTGGTTTGCCACAGTCTCCACCACTCCCTGTTGTCTCAGACTGGCTGTTTTACCCATATACACTCTTAACTTGGTCCTTGTGGGTATTTCAGTTTGGGGCCCCTGCCTTAAGATGCCTACAGATTTTCTGTCCAGCCTTCCCTTGAGACATGGATTCTAGTTTTGTAAGCCCTTTGCTTTGAATGTGGCCAAGACTTCTTTCCTAATTTTGCTACATCTCATCCCTGCCCAGCTTTAGACAGCCTCCTCCACTCTTGGGGCTACATGTCTTTTTTTTTAAAAATCTTATCTTGTGTATTCTTCCCTCCTTCCTGCCCAGAGGTCCTGGAGAGGTGAATGGACAGAGCAAAGTGAGTGTTTATGGGATTGTGTCCACAGCATTCCCTCAGTGGCTGCCCCTTTTTCTGTCCCCTCCTCTAGCAACAACTTCCTGACCCCCACAAGGTTTTACAAACACCTCTTGGTTCATGAAGGACAGTAAGAACCTGAGGACTGAAATGTACCCATGTTTGCATCTCACAGTAATTCATATACTCATTCTTCTATATATGGGCTTCTCTTTTCTCTCCTCAGTTCATCTGTCCTTCTGTTTATGCACTCAGCAACCATCTAGTGATTACCTACTACTGGCAAGGCACGGTTAGGTGTTAGGAAAGGAAGGAAAGCAAACAAAAAAACCATAACAAAACTTATCCTGGGACCATAGGCAAGACATTTACCTCAGTTTCCTGATAGGTTTAATGATTGGATTAGAGATCCTTTTGTCTGGGGTTTTTTTCTTCTGTGACTATGTCTTTGACCTTCTAAAACTTTCTATGCCATCTGCAAATTGCAGTCTAACAGCTTAGGAATTCTAGAGAAATCTCCAAGTAAGTGTGTCTGTAAACCACAAAGTTCCCAGAGAGGGGCAAGCTGAGGTGTGAAGGAGGATGATGGGGGCCAAGAGGAGTGAAGTCTGGTCTGGGTGGGGGCTGGGAGGGCAGGAGAGGAGGGTGGGGGCCAGACCAGCCTGCCAGGAGGGTTTGCCAGATGCTCAGACTATCCAGAGAAATCTCACACCCCCCTAGCCCCCTACAGCCCTGGCTCCAGCTCAGGCTGGATCCCAATCTGCATAATTTACCCCATTTAGAGGGGATGGGAGAGGGTGAGAACCTGCGGGTAGAGAGGACTGAGGAGGGGGTGCTCCAAAGGCCAGAGGAAAACCAGAGAGAGGGAGGCGGGGCCAGGACAGCAGGAGGCAAACTGCAGATAACATTCTGCCCAGCACTGCAGGGGTCAATTTGGTTCACTTGCCCAGGGACAAGAAAAAAAAAGTGGGCTGTAACTTAAGGATCCTAAGACTCACAAGTGAGGGGCCGGTCTGGAGGTGGAGTGGGGAGCGACACGCCAAGGAGGAGAGACAGACCCAGGAGGGCGCGAGGAAGTGTCTTGGCCGAGGCTGGGGCCAGAGGGAGAGGGTGGAGAGAAGTCTGCAGAAGTGAGGCACCCTCCGGAGTCCGGAGGATCAGGGGGCAGCTCCTCCTGCATCCTGGGAAGGGCTCTGGACACCTTCAGCCCCTCTCACCGCCCTCTGAGGCTCAGCCAGAAGCTCAGGGTGCTTGCTGAGCCAGTGACACGGCCGCGGAGCTGGTGCCCCAGGGAGCCCCATGCCCATCTCCTCCGCGCTCCCCAGCATGGAGGAAGGCGGCGATTTCGACAACTACTACGGGGCAGACAACCAGTCTGAGTGTGAGTACACGGACTGGAAGTCCTCGGGGGCCCTCATCCCTGCCATCTACATGCTGGTGTTCCTCCTGGGCACCACGGGCAACGGCCTGGTGCTCTGGACCGTGTTTCGGAGCAGCCGCGAGAAGAGACGCTCAGCTGACATCTTCATCGCCAGCTTGGCAGTGGCCGATCTGACTTTCGTGGTGACCCTGCCGCTGTGGGCCACCTACACGTACCGGGACTACGACTGGCCCTTTGACACCTTTGCCTGCAAGCTCAGCAGCTATCTCATCTTTGTCAACATGTACGCCAGCGTCTTCTGCCTCACCGGCCTCAGCTTCGACCGCTACCTGGCCATCGTGAGGCCGGTGGCCAATGCTCGGCTGAGGCTGCGGGTCAGCGGCGCCGTGGCCACGGCGGTCCTGTGGGTGCTGGCCGCCCTCCTGGCCGTGCCGGTCATGGTGTTCCGCTCCACCGCGGACCTGGAGAACACCACCAAGGTGCAGTGCTACATGGACTACTCCATGGTGGCGAGCTCCAGCTCGGAGTGGGCCTGGGAAGTGGGCCTGGGTGTCTCGTCCACGGCCGTGGGCTTCGTGCTGCCCTTCACCGTCATGCTGACCTGTTACTTCTTCATCGCGCAAACCATCGCCGGCCACTTCCGCAAGGAGCGCATCGAGGGCCTGCGCAAGCGGCGCCGGCTGCTCAGCATCATCGTGGTGCTGGTGGTGACCTTCGCCCTGTGCTGGATGCCCTACCACCTGGTGAAGACGCTCTACATGCTGGGCAGCCTGCTGCACTGGCCCTGCGACTTCGACCTCTTCCTCATGAACGTCTTCCCCTACTGCACCTGCATCAGCTACGTCAACAGCTGCCTCAACCCCTTCCTCTACGCCTTCTTCGACCCCCGCTTTCGCCAGGCCTGCACCTCCGTGCTCTGCTGGCGCCAGAGCCGGTGCGGGGCTGCCTCCCACAGCAGCAGCGGTGAGAAGTCGGCCAGCTACTCCTCGGGGCACAGCCAGGGGCCCGGCCCCAACTCGGGGAAGGGCGGAGAGCAGACGCAGGAGAAATCCATCCCCTATAGTCAAGAGACCCTTGTGGTTGACTAGAGCCGAGCTCAGAGAGAAGCCTGGCGTCTGTTCTCTGGCCCTCCCCAGCCTTCGCCCTTGCTCTCTGGAAGTCAGGGAGCACCCGGGCACCCATCCCTTGCACGTGGCCCTTTTGCTGCTCCCTGCCTCCTGCCTCTGGCTTGTCTTCTCCTGCAGTCTTGTTCAGAGTTTGTGGTTTCATGGAAGGACATGGCACCTGCAGCCCTGCGCTCAGCCACTCAGTATCTGTGAGGCTGACCTTGCACAAGTCTCTTAATCTCTCTGAGCCTCAGTTTCTCCATTTGTATAAAAATGGGGAAGTCGTACTGACACTAAAATGATGTGTATGTCCTGACTCAGTAAAAGTTCCTCTCTTGCCCCTTTCCCTGGACCTCCACCTCTTTTTTTTCTCTCTCCTTTCCTTTCCCTCTAGTTTTCTCTCCCCTCTCCCCTTGGTTTTTCCCTCTCTCTGCAATTCTTTTCTTTCTTTCTTTTTTTTTTAGGAGAGCAAGGAGGCAGAGGCTTTTATTTGGAGAGAAAGTGAAAAGACAGAGCTCCTGGCTCAAGCCAGGAAGGGTCAAGAGAGTCCCCTCTCTCTGTAATTCTTAACTTCTGGTTCCAACCCCATCTCCATAGCGCATCCTCCTCCCTCTTATTTTACCTCCTTTCTCTGAAGGGCTCCTAAGGGTTAAGAATCCTGAGGCTTGCAAACACTGCCCCTGTTCTATGCTGTTTCCCAGAGCCAGAAGGGACTGGATGGGTGGGGTGGGCTGGGTCTCAGTGGAGTGTGCTCCAGCCTCTGCAGCTGGGAGCTCTGAAACTTCCCCCAAATTGTATGGGTTGGCTGTAATTTCAGGCACTGTGGGTAGAGCAATCCAGAAAGGGGGTGTTCCCCCCTTTCTGCAGCCCCTCCATGTTGCCAACTACATAAGGTTTCTACAGATTTCTTCAGACCCTTTCATCCAACCTCACGTCTCCCTGAGTTTGGAAGGCAATGGGGTTGATGACACAATGGGCTCCCCGGTTTCTTTATATGAGTGGGGAGTTGGGAAGGGAAGTTGGAGAAGGTGGGAGTCAGCATTTAGTCTAATGCTGCTTGGCTTCCCTCCCCAAATCCACATCCCTCCAGCCTCCTCCCGGACTGTGAGCCCCAGGGGTTCCACCTGTCTCCTCGCCCACCCCATCATCCCAGGACACTTCTTGTGCTCTGGTGCTTCCTGGTGCCCAGTCACTTTGGGGTGGGATGCTTGCTTTGTGTAGGTGTGTGTGTGTATATATAATTGTGTGTGTGTATATGTATCAGCACAGATGAGCATAACAGGAAGAGCATTGTGCCTGTGTCATGTGTCACTCGGGTGGACATCCCCCCACCCCTTACTCTGTACCATCCCTCTGCTCTTCACACAGTGTCCTTGAGGGAAGAAAGGACGTACTGAGGCAATTTAGAGTAGAAGGAGACCACCCCCACTGGACTGGGGGCTCTGACGGCTGGTCCGTGCTTTAGCAGAGAAGTCCGGGCTGGCACTGGTGTCCTAGAGGGAGATGTCTCCTTAAAGCCATCGTGCCCAAGGCCTGGGGAAATCCCGTGCGCTGGTCCCTGTCCTTCTCTAGGTCCTTGAGGGAAACAGGAGGCTGGATAAGAGCTTCCCTTGGCCCTCTCCCCCTCCCCTCTGCTGTGGTCACTCTCCCCTTTCCCAGGGTGCGTGGCCCTCTTTTTAAGAAGGTCACCTGCTGGCCATGGGGTAGAAAGCGCTGGGTGGTGTTTTTCCTCCTTCACCATCAGAATCGGACCCCTGGGCTCCTCCTGCTGGGTTGGGGGGCTGAGAACAGTGACCTGAGCTGCCTGTGCCAGGGCTGCCGGCATCATGGCGCCAGACAGGCCTTGAGGATGACATTGATGGTGGGGCCTTGGTGAGCTGGGGGCAGGGTGTGTGTATTCCAGGTTTTGTTCTTGGAGGACTCTGCACCTAAGGACAAGCCATGAGCCATGGAGGCAGGAAGAGCCCAGCCTCATGTAAATGGCCATCTTGAGCACCTGTGGGATGGCACCAGCTCTGGGGGCAGAGGGAGAAGGGGACGGGTCTCTGCTCAGCTTAGTCTTCCCATCACTCAGAATCTTCCAGATTCACTTTCTTGGCCTAGGGCTGTTTTGAAAGCACCCAGTCAAGGCTGGAGGAAAATTCTAGAAGGGAAGAGTGTGCCCGTCCAAGGCCTTCCTGGGGCACCTGCAGAGACTTCCTGCCTCCAGTGGAACGGAACTCCTTGGTGGTTCCGGACAGAGAGTCGGAGAGGCTGCCGGTGGTGAGGCTCCCTCATCCCCCACCTACCCCTTCTTTGGAAACTGTGCTATTTTCTGACCCTGTTAGTCACTGCAGTAAAATAAATAAAATTTTAACAGATCAAATAAATCTGTTTTGTGTAACTATATCCAAAGCCTCTTCTCACACAGTGTCTTGAGATGGGGAAAGGATCCCCAGGTTGCCAGTGTTACAGTGGGAGGTGCAGTGAGCAGGCTGCGGGGTCAGGAGGAAGAGCAGTGAGGTGGGAAATCAGAAAGGAAGGGAGGGAGGCAGGGGGAAGCTGGAGGAAGCAGGCCCCAGGGCTCCTCAGGTCAGGGAGGACAGGGGGAACTACAGGAACTAAAGGGGCAGGGGAGGGACGACAGCTCAGGTTTTGTGCTTTGAAAAGCTGTGGGACAAATGAGCCTACATAGGGGAGTCCAGAGCACAGGTCTGGGGGAAAACGCTAATGTTTCTTCCCACGGAAGCAGACCTACCGTTCATTCATTCATTCACCCATTCATTCACTCATTGTCACATGAGTGTCCATTCTGTTTAAACCAGAAATTCAAATGCCTGCTATCTAATCAGAGTCACTCTGGGTGGTTTTGAGAATATCCATTCCTGAGTGTCACCCCAGACCTGTGGAATCAGATGCTCCTGGACTCACCCCGGACATTTGCAATGAACTAAAAGCTCCTCAGATGATTTCCACCGAGATAGATTGTGCCCAGATTAAAGTAGGCACACAAGCCAGAGAGTCAGAGCCCGAGGAAACTGGGCTCTGAAAGATCATTGGTTTGGGGGAGGAAGGAGCTGAAATGATCCTTGGGGGGAAATACTCAGTTCAGACACGTTCACCATCTTCCATGAAGACTTCCGGTGCTCATGTTTGCGGATGACAAAAGCACCTGCCACAGTAGGATGGATAGTAGCGAGAGAGCTCCTGTCTCCTGCACCTTACCGCCCCGTTGAGCATCTTCCACATCATCTAATTTAATCCTTACAGTCCACTGAGAGGGGCACTCACCTCATTTTGCTGATAAGGAAGCTGAGGCTCAGAGAGGTGAGTCAGATATCTTGACCCAGGTCACGCAGCTAGCGCACGGAAGAGCTGGGCCCAGAGCCAGTGAGATCCGCCTGACCCCCAAGCTCACACTCTTTGACCACTGCTTCTCCCAGAGTGCAAATGAGGCAGTGCCACGTGGCTGGGAAGGAAAGTGACGTCTCATCTGTAAGGCACCTGGAAACCAATTCAATGTGTGGAGCGAATGGGGTGGATGGGAAACGCAGGAGAGAGACAGAGGCAGAGAGACACAGTGAGAGGAGAAAGGAAAAGAGACAGAGACAGCAAAAGAGAACCGGAGACAGAGATGAGGACAGAGACACAGAGGGAGTGAGGAGGTAGTCAGGAAGGGGAAACTGGGAGGCAGGAAGGGAGCTAGAGGGCAGCTGGGGGGTGGTTTTCCCTCTTCTGAAGCACACCAGGGACAACCCTGCAGGAATTTACAACTGTGACAACAAGCTATTGAGCTATTTTTTTCACAGATGCTGTAAAAAATCCCTCACTAACCCTCCAGGGAAACTTGGGGTAGGTTATGCGAAAAATTTGTCCACACATTTCTGCATGTGTTCACTCAATCACCACCATCTGTTTAGTCAACAAGACCCGATGTATGGCCTGTGTGCCAGGCAGCAACTCTGGGCTCCAGACCCAGTGGTGATCAGGACCCGTGGGCTCCTCCTGGTCTGCTGGTGGAGACAGATAAATGAGCGATTGTAGTCGAGTGTGTAAGTTCTGGGACAGGGAAAGCACAAAGAGTCTTTCGGGCCTCATAGAGACAATGGAATGAGTCTAGGCAAGGCGTCAGGGGAGACTTGAGAGACAGCGTGTGCCAGGAGCCTGAGGTCTGAAGGGTGGAGGGTAAGCATCTAGCGGGGAACCTGCTCTGTGCAGAGGGGATCCCCAGAGATAGGGGAGTGCAGCCCCTCTGAGGAGCTGGAAAGAGCACTCGTGTTTGTCTTCGCTCACCCCAACCCCAGCTCTGGGAGGAGGGCCAGGCAGAGGCACGAGAAAAGCTTGCCCAGTGTGATTGTGGGTGATGAGCAGATGAGGGGCCTGGAACTAAAACCCAGGCCTCTAGGCAACTTGGGGAACCAGGGATTTTTTTGTTGTGACCTCCAGTTATTCCTTCCTTGGGCTTGAACAGTCTTCACCTGAGATATCTGCTGGGGTCTCCTAAACAGGGCCTGGGAGCTCTAGGGCCCTCTCACACTGGGCTCGTTAGAGAAGGATGCTAAGAAGGGGCTGATGGGTCTCTTGGAAAGACCCCCTCTGGAAGCCAGGGTGACACTCATCATGACAGAGTCTAGAGGTGACATCCCTGCCATCTCAACAGGTTCCACTCTGTCCAAACTCAGGAGAGTTCCAAGCTGGCAGGGCCTGATCCAGGGGGTGTATCTCCTCTCGATTATTGGCCAAATACTTACAAAACCACTACGAGCAATGTTGTTTTAAGCTTCCCACAAAGTGAGCTTAAAAACAAGTTCACAAGGAAGGAGATTTCAGAAATGTTGGGCTGACTTAGAGGTTTTAATTTAACTATAGTTAGAGTCAGAGTACTAAGCAATGTTCATTGATTTTTTTTCATTCAACAAACATATTCAGTGCCTGCTCTGTACCTGGGGCTATCTCAGAAGCTGGGGGTACTGAGGTGAGCCAGATACTGTCCTTGCCTTCATGCGGCAACCTAAAGCCTTCTAGTCTTACCTTCCAGCTGAACAGATGATTACCGAGGCCCACAGAGGGGGAACAATTTATTCATTTATTCAAGGTCGGATGGTGGGATGCTGACAGAGGTGGTACTAGGACTCAGGCCTCCCGCTGCCAGGTCAGAGCACGTACTGCAGCTCCAGGCTTAGAAAGGAGAGAAGGTCTTTTATTGAGAATGTGAAGATCAAGTGCAGAAGCTCAGAGCTATGACGGACGGCTAGCTGGGAAGGGGGAGGGTACCAAGGTGCTTGAAGATGATTGCCTGTATTTTTGTTAATATACCTTTTATTTTAGAAGAGTTTCAGATTTAAGGAAAAATTGCTGATCTAGTATGGAGAGTTCCCATACCTTCCCTTACATTAGCATGACACACTTCCCACAGTTAATGAACAAATATTGATACATTCCTATTAACCAAGTCCATACTCTATTCAGGATTCCTTACTTTATGCTGAATGTCTTTTTTCTGCCCTAGGATCCCATCCAGGATAACCCGTTACCCGTGGTTGTTGTGTCTCCTTAGGCACCTCTTGGCCACAACAGCTTCTCAGAGCTTGTTTTTGATGACCCTGACTGTCTTGAGGAGTACTGGTCTGGTATTCCGTTCCATGTACTTTTTAAACAAGTCTGTTTTTGTTTCCATCTGCCAGGCACATGCTAGGCGATAAGGGTAGAGCAATACATAAAACACAAGTGATTCCTGCTTTCATGGAGTTTAAGGAATAAATAATACAGTATAGTAAGCATGATCGCAGGGGAAGCACAGGATGCCCTGAAGGCTGTGCACCACAGAGTGATCACAGAGAGGGCCAGCACATTGGCTGAAATCACAGGTCCGCCTTCCGTTCTACCAGGGTTTAAATATCTGGCATTCTCTTCTGCCTCCAAAGCCACCCTAGGGCTCATTTTCTTGTCTGAAGAACTGGAAACCTGGGGACATGAGACAAAAGAATATTTGTGTTCAAGGGATGTCTTACCCATATTGTTCTGTACTTTATTATTTGGTCATTTCTTGCCTACTTGAGGCTGCTTCTTACATGGATCAAGGATAATCAGAAATGGATTCTTCAAACCTGCTTGAACTACCCTGTTTGGCCAGCACCCTCCTCCTCTACTTCATGTCCCCTGAGCACTGGGATTTGAGTGCTGTGCCACAGTTCTGTGCACGTCTGTCCCCTCTGCTCTCGGGGCAGCTGCTCTAATGCAGGGGCTGTGTTTACACATCTTTGAATTCCCAGTGCCTGGAATGTGGCAAGCGTTCAAAGAGGGTTTGCTTAAAGGATTGAACAACTGGAGAAAGAAAGTGTAAGAGAAAGGTGAGAAAAACTGATTTTTGCTTGGTGCAAACAGGTTGATTGCTTTTAAAAGAGCCCAGAAAGATAGAGACAGGTGCCAGATGAGTACTAAGATTACCAACCACTGACTCCATTAAGCCAAATAGCTTGGTCTCACGGCTGTTGCTTGGGAACCACAGAGCCAGAACACAGGGTTAGTTGGACCAGGTTCAGGGGCCACTGCCGATATTTTTGTAAGTAGAATTCCTCAGGTTATAGCTTTGCGGTGACCAGTTCAGTGTGGATGCTGGAAACTATGTCTTCGAATCTCTTGGGCTGGATGATGGTGTGCAAGGCTAGTGGGCTTCCTGGGGAAGTTACTGGTGAGCCAACGGGAGCCGGCACTGAGTCACATGGTTTCTGGGAATCTATGTCTTGACATCTACTGTTCATGGAGGAAGGACTCATGATGGTGGGGATGTACTGACTGAATGGGAAACAAAATTTTGGACTTCCCCCCTTCTATAAAAATACTCAGGGAAAACTTCTCTTCCGGCCCCTGAGAAAATCTGGGCCAGGTTGAAGGGCATCCAAGAAGATTTGGCAGTCTTTCTTTTGGGTCTGGAATATGTCCACGAGTTCAAGAAGCCTTCCTGTATGATGGGGATGAAGTGGCCTCTGATGACAAGAGAGAGACCCTGGCTCCACTCTAGGGGGGCTGGCTCTGGTTTCTTTGGCAGAGAAAAGACTTTGGTGGCAGGGACAACAGTGACCCGGAATTTGGGGACTCCCATCCCAGAGTGCCAAGATAGGAGAGAGCATGAATGCAACCTCTGCCCTTAGGAAAAAGGGTGCACCACAGTGGTGGTTAGTTGATTTCCGGGAGGAGACCCTGAGCATCTGTGGGATCCAGCTGGCTGCAAGCTCTGATTTGGGGGTGCTGTTAGACTGTCAGTGCCCCTGGAAGGTGGTAGCTATTTGCTATGCTAAATGGAAGCTATTTTTTTTTTGAGAGGGCATCTCTCATATTTATTGATCAAATGGTTGTTAACAACAATAAAATTCTGTATAGGGGAGTCAATGCTCAATGCACGATCATTA